AAATAAACTAAAAGATAAAAATAAAATAAATGACCAGGGGGGTGCTGAAGCAGAACCAGGGGTTAAAAGTCAGCAAAATACCAAGGCCCACTGCATTGAGGCTCAGGCGTGTGTGTTTGTGACAAAAAGAATGAAAATATGGAAAATGGAAGAAAAAAAAGGTAGCGCGCTGGGTGTTAAACCCACACCCTCTTGGTTACCAGCGCGCTGCCTTACCATTGGGGTGGCTATACATCCGTTAACATTGGCACAAAAATAAATACATAACATAAAACTTGCCCTGACTGTACTTCATCTTCAACCTCCAGCCAAAGGATCTGTAACTTGCTCATTCTTCAACCATTTTCAAAAATGTAAACATGAAACTTGTGTATTTTTTTCACCACGAATCCAACCATGTAACTAATTTAAGCTAACATTCAAAGATAAGGATGAATTTATTAAAGTACAAATTCTGACCTAAATGTTTCAGCAAGTTTAAACTCAAAATTCTCCATGCTTAAGCAACATAAATGAAATCTATGGACATGTATAGTTTCAGGGCAATGATACATACATTCTATCTTCACAAATGCAATCCTAACAATGCCTAAATAAAGAGATAGAAGTTCAAGAAAAATACCTTAAAACTGGAAATCACGAAATGGGTTTGAGATTGTTTCAAGTGATGGTGATGATCAAGTTAGCTTCCTTGGACCTCTAGGAAGCTAATGCAATGGCTGGCTTGAGCTGAAGGTGGCCAGAATGGTCTGGAGAAGTCCAACTGTGATGCTCTATTTTTGAACTTGGAAATGGGTGAAGATGGTGTTACAGTCGTGTAACAGGGACATGGATGACTTATGTATGATGTTTAGAAGCTTTTGGAAGCAAAAGGCCAAGAAACGCACGAGTAGTTTTTGATTTTGGGATTTCTGGCCAGAATATACAACAATGGAAGCCTGAGATGCAGTCCTGAGTTTTGGTCAGTTTTGGAGCTTGTGTATCCGTGTGTTTTGATGCAAACAACTTGTGTATAAGTAAGGAAAAGGTTATATCACTTGAGAGGGTCAGAAGTGCAAGATATAGAGTTATGGCTATCTTACTTGATTTTGAAGAAAAGTGGAAATATGGTTTCAAGGCATAGTACAAGCATGGCATGAGTTCAAAGAGGATTTAGACAAGTTTATTTTGGGTTATAGGTTGTGTGTGATCAGAATCAAACAAGTGCAAAGCTCAAGAACTGATTTTGTGCATAAAAGCTACTTTTCCAAAATGGCAATGTGCACTTTCTTCCCAAAATGACATTAAGCATGGGCAATGCATTGAATGCTTGAGTTGAAGATTCTTACAGCTGTTAAAACATTTAATTATAGAGTACCAAACAAGTTTGAGGCCTGCAAAGCAAAGATTATGCAGTCTAGCATGTATTTGCATTCTTGTTCATCATGAAATTATGCCTTGTAAAACAACTTGAAACCCTAACTTCTGACCTTCGATTCTCCTTGCTCACAAATGATCTCAAGGAGTTCTTGGACATTTTAGAAAGCTTAGAATGTTCTCTAAAACCCCTATTTGAATCACTTTTGTAAAGTCCAAATGGAACTATGTGAAACTTGGTCCAGAAGTTAGGTCAAAATCCTGACCAAAATGCTCAAAATTTCACTAAGTGTTTTAGTTTCATGACCATGATTTCATGGATTAATAACTTGAAATACGAGCATTTATAGGAGGAGTTGTGTAAATAAATATTTTGTATCTAATTGAGATCTACAACTTTCATTTTGAAAGTTTCCTTTGAATCATCTTGCATCATGGTGAAAATTTGGCTCAAAGTTGTGAAAAAATATGAAGTTTTCAACACTTAGAAAAATTTCTAAGTTTGGAAACTTTGACTTTTCAAAATGAAATCTTGACTTTTTGATTTCTTGATGAACAATTTTCATATTTTGACATGTTTTGATGAATTATGATCTTTGATACTTGATTTTGACTAAAAAGTCAAAGTGACTTTTCAGTGTGCAGTTGACTTTTGATCAGTTGACTGAAAATCAACTATCAATCAAATGACCTTGAGAAATGTTTTGAGTCATGCCATTAGGTCAAAATGATGCCATTGAATCCTTGAGATCATGTTTCCAACCAATCAATCATTTTCTAGGTCAAAAATCAGAAATTGTCTTTTCTCAATCAAAACCCTAATTTTGACCATTTTACCCTTTTGATGATCTGATCAAATTTCTTGAGGAATTATGATCCAAACTTGATAAAATGACATATAGGAGTTCACAATGTTGATATGGATAAAAAATTATGAAGTTTGACTGTAAATTGGCCACAGTTGACTTTTTCCCCAATACAACTGATTTTTAGGTCAACTGATCAATTAACTGAGCAAAAATGTGATCCAAGACTTGAAACTTGACACGAGCTATCTTGAGGGTCTATAATGATCCATGAAAGTCATATGAGGCATTAAAATTTCAATTATCCTTGTGCAATCTCAAACCCTAATTTCAGACATCAATGCTTAAGGAGGTGTCTTGAGCTGATCAACCCTTGTGCAGTCTTGAACCAAAGGTGATCTTGTGAGAAAATAATTAATAAATAAGAGGGAAAGTTTTGGGGTACAACAGAAACCTTGCGGACTCCCAAAGATCAGCATGGATGTCATCAATGGATCTATGTGTTCTTTGTTTGCATTTGTTGAACTTCACTCTACGAGATTTTCCAAGTACACAGGGTTCACAAAATTTCATCTTTTCGACTTTGTCTCCACCAAGAAAATTTTGTTTACCTAATTCGATCAGACCCCTTTCACCGACATGGCCCAATCTCATGTGCCAAATTTATGTCTTCGATAAAGGTTTCGTGGATGCAATATTTGTCGAACCACTTACAACTTCAGCCTCAAAGGTATACAAACCTTGCTTCTTCACGCCTCTCAAGACTTCTTTCGACCCCTTCATGATTGTTAGGATACTTTTCTCTCCTTGGAAAACATATCCTTTCTTGTTGAATTCACCAAGAGAAATCAGATTTCTCTTCAAATAAGGTACATACCTGACTTCAGCCAACAACTTTATTGACTCATCATGGAGCTTGAATCTCACAGATCCAACATCTGCAATCTTGCAATATTTTTTGTTTCCCAGCAATACAGATCCACCATCTTGATCACATAGTTCTTCGAATAAGTTTTTGTTTGGAGTCATGTGTCAAGTGCACCCAGAATCCATAATCTACTCCTTCGACGGGTTGCTGCTCGAAACCACAAGAACATCAGATGAGTCGAAATCATCTTAAATAATAGTTGCATTGCCATTATCCCTATCTCCATGATCTTTCAGGCATTCATAGCACACCTTTCTTGTGTGACCCTCCTTCTTATAATGATAGCATCAAATACTAGATGTTTCGCCACTGTAAGACTTCTGCTGACTTTTACCTTTCTTCTTGTCAAACTTACCATCCTTTCGCAAGAATTTTCCCTTAAAGGACAAACCTTCACCAACCGTCGAAGGTTTATGCTCATTTCGTTCATTCAAGTCCTTAGAATACAAGGCTGATTGAACTTCTTCAAAGGTCAGGGACTCCCTTCCATACAAGAGAGTTTCTTTGAAGTGGGCATGTGTTCTGGGAAAAGCGCACAACAACAACAGCGCTTGATCTTTATCATCGATCTTCACATCAATATTTTCAAGATCAAGAATCAGCTTGTTGAACATATCCAACTGCTCAGCCAACACATTTTCTTCAATCATCTTGAATGAATACAAAGCTTGCTTCAGGTAGAGTCGATTTACCAACGATTTGGTCATGTACAAACTTTCAAGTTTCACCCATAACCCTTATATCGTTGTCTTCTTTGATACCTGTCGAAGAACCTTATCACCAAGGCTCAACAAGATTACGTTGTGGGTTTTTTCTATCATGATCGTCTTTTCCTTTTTCGTTAATGCAGCGTCCATAGTCGCCGCTCCCTTCAAGGCTTCCAAACAACCATATTGAATCAGTAGGGCTTTCATCTTCAAATGCCACAGACCGAAATCGTTCACTCCGGTGAACTTTTCAATTTCATACTTTATTGAAGGCATCTTCTCCACGCTCACCGCACCAATTTGTTGTGAAACACGATACCTTTGAAACAAAGTATAACAGAGTTCTTCAAGGCAAGAAACCCACAAGGATAGAAAAGATGATAAACAAGAAGAACAACAAGGAATTGGTTATAATTGTTATTCTTTACTTTCTCTTTAAATTAGATTATAAGTACTCAAGAATAACAAATAACCTCTCTCACCCTAAATTAAGATGTGTTGTATGCAATGATGAGAGACTAGTATGTTATTTATAATAAAATCTAACATACTAAACTAATGGGTTTTTCCCAAATACACATCACAAACTAACTTAGGGTACAAGCTAACTTAAACAATTGGACATAAGAAACAGATCCAACTTAAAATACTAACAACCCTAACATTTCAATACCCACATACTAGAACACACTTCGACTACAGTATGTAAGTCTTCGATACTAGCATGTGAACATTCTTTGACGGCATACATAAATCTTGTCGAACTAGAAGCTACTCTTCCACCAAATAGAATTCGATTCAATATCTCACAGTGGCTATTTATTTTGTTATTAAAATTCAATGAAAGTTGTCAGTTTGCTTCAAGATATTTCACAAAAGTGATTATATTTGTTGGCTTGTTACACTATGTACTATTTCAAATCATAACAAGGAAAAACAAACACGAACAAAAACAACTCAAAATTTGACAGAACTTGTGGTTACACCAGATTTACAGTAGATAAAGTCCCATTCTAACGTTAGTTAAAACAGATTCTAGTAACTTGCATATTGCCTACACATTACAAAAACCTAGGTACACTCTTCAACCCAGAAGATAAATACATATTTTTTACTTTTCTTCTTCGCTTAAGAATTATTAAAAAAACAAAAGAAAAAGAAAACGTTGCAAGAGCAAATTATTCTTCTTGGATTCATTGTTTGTTAAACCCTGCTGTTAGCAGGTAGTGGGAGAACACCGTCAAAGAAATCGCCAAAATAGCCACGGGGCTCATCTACTAGTCTTGAGATGATATCTCTTAGCGAGATTAGTCCTTCAAGGTCCCCGTTGTTGTCCACAACATAGACCCTATGAATCTTCTCTCTGTCAAGCAATTGAATCAACTCTTTGACTGTACAGTCCATTTTGCATGTAACAAATTCACATGACATTGAGAATGCGGTTTTATTCTTCTCTAAGTAGCTGCTAACAGCAGTCATAAAATCCTTCACTGTAATAGCCCTGTCAAAATGTGAACATCCAATGAGTATATGAAGTAATGAAACAGATAGAAAAGAAAAGCCGGAGAAAGAAATAAGATATCGCTAACGCAGTCATGACAAGCCTATTTTATCAGATTAAATGTAGGGCCATAGTTTAGGTAAAAGGTACGCGACTACATTCTCAGACACGGAACAAGGTTTGTATGTCTCTGCAACCGATATCTAGGATTGTGACGCAACTGTTGTCACAATTTAAAATGTCGTGACGATATACCTATAATCGTGATAGATTTCTGGGGCTGTTAGCAAGAATTGCACATCTCTCAAGCTTATATTACCAACTGGCGTGTTGCTGCCGCTTTTGATGACAGGCACTCCTCCAACCTTCTCTTTCCTCATCACTTTAAATGCTTGAAGTACAGGTTCATCCTCATAAACCTGAAGAAGGAAATAGTCCATTGTGAAGTTCATCAAGATATAACATTTTTTGCTGTATGCACTCAAATTATGGAGAATTCATGCTTGACACAGTTCAATGAAATGAGAGCTTATAAGATAGATACATACCTTGATGATTTGCTTTGGGGACACAAGAGGAAGACCAACGTCAGAGAGTTTCTTGGTTCCCCAATTTTCGAACCACTGAAGTCCGGCGCATTCTGCCACCATATGAATCACGGCGGCTTGTGTGATAATGTTATCAATTCTACCTGCACCTAAGTCAACAACAGGAACACTTTTCATCTTGTACTTAGAAAGCAACAAGAGCATGGTTAGAAAAGAGTTTGATCTCTCCAAAGCAAGAAACGGAGCCCATCGGAATGTCCCAGAGATATCCCGAACCTGTTTACGAAAAAGTCAGCAACTAATACAACAAAATACAAACAAAGTAGCAGCTCGAATAAGAGTCACTTCAAAGAAAGGTTGACATAGCAAAACAACCTTGGTGTTCTTATAAAGTTCAGAAGAAGTAAGATCCTCGAAAAAGTTTCCGGAAGTTGTGGAGGCAGATCCAAGGCCTAAGGCTTCAAGCTCAAGAGCAAAAGTATTTCCGTTTGCAGCGGCTGCAATAGCAGTGGCACTGGTTGGAGTTGATGGACTCTTAGGAGATGCAGGTTCAGACTGTCACATCGCAAAACATTATCATACATATTAACAAGTGCAACAATCAAATCATCCATCTACCAACAAAAAAAACCATCAAAATTTCAAATTCATACAAGACAGAAAGAACAAAACTGATTGTAATTGAATTGACATGCAACATATATGTATCAAACCTGATGCAAAATCCACACAACAATTCCAGCAAACTCAACAATCCCAATATATCTATCAATCCAACTAGCATCTTCAGGCGCATCAACATTCACCACAGGTGCACTCAAAATATTATGATGTGCCAATATCTTCACAGCCTCAGACAAAGTAGCATCCGATTTTATTTCAACTTCTAAATAAACACAAAACACAAAAATCACACCTTAAGAACAAACAAACCCAAAACAGAATCATAAAAAACACATACAATCAACAACCTTGGTTTGAAGATGGTAAAGGAAAGGCAGAAACAGGGATGCTTTCAAAACAAGCGTTAAGCTTCTCAGTAGGACTCAACTGTGCTTCTTGAATATCCCATAGATCCTCCACTCGCATCCCAAGTTTCGCTTCTGGACTCCTTGGACACTCTTGCATTGTTGCCATTTCTCTCTCTCTCTCTCTCTCTGTAACTTGAAAGTGGTGACAAGGTTATTATTGTTCCCGACACATATTTCCATAATAAAGTGAAAAATAGGATCTTAGAATCTGCTACGACGTTGTAAACTTGTGTTTACGGTGGACCAGAGTTATTCGGCGTTGGATCTGTATGAGTTAAGAAACGTGTACGGCTACGATGAGGTTACAGTGGTCAACGAAAATGGTTGTGTTGTCCTTACTATTCGAATAGTTTATCCAAATTTGTGTAATTGATTATGGAAGAAAGAGATTGATATCCGGTTTTTACTATGGGCCATACTAATGTGAGCCGAAGCGTGTTTTGCGCGCCCATAGAATTCATAAAGTACTTCTAAGAAATTAATATTAATATTCATCCTCTTATTCTAAAAGCAAATAATGTTTGGCTTACAGGTATTTTACTTTTATAAAGTCACTTAGAACATTTATAATAGGTTATTTTTTGCAATTAAAACTGATTCTTCAATATTTAGTAAAGGGCTCGAGTAATTAAATTGAATTTTGATCATTAGATTGGAAAATAAATTATTTTAAGGTTACTTTTTAATACTGAATTAATCTAAAGGCAGAGGAAGAGTAATCAGTATGGAAATAGGGCTCTTTGTTAGGTTTTGAGATTAGCATTTACATTTAAGTATTGAATTATTGATAGTGAGTCACTGACAACGCCCACTGTGATGTCGAAGATAGAAACAATATCATTATCTAATCTAGACATTCATAATACGACAATAGTATTATTATTTTTAATTTTTTGTTCAAATGGCGATAGAAGATAGGAACAACACCTCTCCTTCCATCACTATCAATCAACTAACAATTATCAATAATTAAAAAATAGAAGAAAAAAACTTAAATTTAATTCAGGTGATTTATATTTTTTTTTCTAATAAAAGTATGATAAGGATATAATGTTTTCATATATATATATATATATATATATATATATATATATATATATATATATATATATATATATATATATATATATATATATATATATATATATATATATATATATATATATATATATATATATATATATATATATATATATATATATATATATATATATATATATATATATATATATATATATATATATATAATTTCTTTTTATTTTTACTCTCTAAAAAATATTTTGATATATTTATTATATTTCTTGTTATATTTTTATTGAAGAAAAATATGAACCACGAATATTTTTCTAAAAAATATATAGTATATGAAGAAGCTTTATTTTTATTAAAAATAAATATAACATGTTATCTAACAATTAAATTAATTTTTTTATATGTTTTAAATTGACTTGTGTAGTGTTCAGATTATTAAAAATAGATTGATCTATATATTGTTATGTCATTCATAGGTCCAAGGAGAAAGGCCCAAAAGATAGGGATATTCTATGTTGCATTAATCTATGCAACTCTTCCTCGTGCTTTTTTATTTGTCTATCTCTTTCATCATATTTTTATTTTTCTTCTCTCTTTATTTAATTTTAATTTTTTGATTTCTCTTTTATCACAGACACAAAATCAAAGTTGGACTTTTACTGGGAAACAGGGGATCCAAATTCAAAAGAGAGTCTAAAGTTGAAAGGCACATAGAGTAGGTAGGCATTCGTTCAAACTAGAAACAAGCAATTATGTCCTTCAGAACATCAATCATCGTCCGATTCAATCTAACGATTATCCTCAGAGCACATCGCATCATACGCGAGCAATTTCAACTGCTCATGGTATATAAAGTGTGTTATTTCAAATATTAAAAAATTCAATCTCACTCATAGATTACTTTTGATTTCACTCACTAAAAAGAAATATTCCTAATCCTTCAGTTGTTGTTGGTGAATCTCAAGTACAATCGGCCATATACTTGCTAAAAAATGTCTACAACCAGATACACTAGCAGAACTCGTAATTCTGGGTTGAAAGAATACTTATGATTGAAGAGAACTTTTGACACGCTCCACTAAAGGATAGCTTTGTACGAGAGGTAACCTCTCAGGGCGATCAGGATGTCGCACCAAAGTCAGTTCCCATTGGCACATCTACGCCATCGAGAGAACATTTGAGGTCACCAGCTCGCGATCGGTACCAAGGACGTATAACTCCCACATTTAAATCTGAATGAAGAAGCGAAAATCATACTCATCGTGAGATTCGTTGCCCTTGTCACTCATTAGCATGTCATCCTCGAAGAAGGGAAAAATATGACGCATACGCTCTAGTTCCATAGCGGAAAAAACAACTTGTTATATGTTTGCACCCTTTATAGCGGAATTTTAAGGTCTTTGGAGAAGCCTTAAAAGCTGCAGAGTTACAATAGAATAGAAGATTCATGCGAACACGTGGAGCATGTAGATAATATGGTAGATTATTACCACGTCCAATGGGAGGTGAAGTGCAAGCTCGTCACACTAACACTGACTATTACCTTGATGACGTGGTTAAAAACTATTTCAGATGAAAGTATAGATTTGTGGAAGAATTTGTGATTCCTTCACTTCCCAATTTATTACCCAAAAGCGGAAAACCGCGACCATGGACGTACTCAGTGGGATCACTCAAAAAAGAAGGAAACTTGGCATGAGTACATTAATCATTTCACAAAAGTGACAGTAATCTAAGTGATTTACTGAACATGGATCAACTCTATATTAATTATAAATAAGAGTTCCTGGTTGAAGAGAGAGAGAGAGAGAGAGAGAGAGAGAGAGAGAGAGAGTTAGAGGTCGTGGATAAAGGAACTCAAGGTATAATCGGGTACCATAAAGAGATAAGATCGTCGTAGAGAGAACAAGGATTATAGACCCCGTTCTAGGTTTAACGCTTGCACTTCCTTGAGTAATTAGAGGCAGAAAATTTGAAAAGAGTGTGCAAACATTATGTTCAAGGAAACCAGGATCATGAATCTATACCCGATCTGATAATCATACCAGGATCATAAATATTTTTGTTTCCATAAGAGTCATACCCCCAACATATATAAGTGAATCCATCTAAAGGATGCAATATAAGAACTGGTCAAGAAGGAAATACATATTGAGTACACCCGGGATGGTGACTGGAAAGGCGGTCAGAACCATAAGAGAGGTCGTATAAGTCAGAAAGATCTGACAAAGAAGATATGTTCCCCTTAGCGGGAAAGATCATCCCCTAAGAAAATTGTTGAGGGTGTGTGTTGTACCCCAAAATTTTCCCTCTCTTTTCTCAAGAACTTTCACAAAGGGCCTCCAATGCTCAAGAATTCTCAAGGAAGATCAGACAAAATCACCTCCGAAACACTGAGACCACAAATTATAGTTTTGACTAAAAATGACTGATCATTGACCTTTGACCTAATACATGACCTAATGGTTTGAAGCATAATCTCAAAGACTCAAATATAACATGTTGACCCAATTCCATGGCTTAAATCATTTCTCGAGATCAATTGATTGATAGCTGAAATTCAGTCAACTGATGAAAAGTCAATTGATACACCAAAATTCAAACTTTGGCTTGGTCAACATTAAGTTTCAACGATCAAAATTCATCAAGACATTCAAGAATATCAAGCTTGATCATCAAGAAATCAAGAAATCAAGAAAGTCAAAAGTCAATGTGAAAGTCAAACTTTTCAAGACAGAAATTTTTCTAAGTGTTTTTTATACATGATAATTTCATTACTTCATGCCATTCTTTCACCAAGATGCAAGATGATTCAAAGAAAACTTTCAACATGAAAGTTGTAGATATTGATGATATTTACAACTTTGCTTTGCTGGTCAAGTCCTAGAATTGCTTGAATTTTGAGTTATACATTCATGAAGTCATGGCATTTTTGTATAAACACAGAAATTTTCAGCAGGTTTGGTCAAGTTTTTATCCCAACTTCTTGGCCAATTTTCATCAAGTTCTAATTGGATTCTTCAAAAATAGAAAACATGAAGGTTGTAGAGGATGTTACAAGCTTTCCAAAATATCAAAGAACTCATTGAGATCATACTTGAGCTAAGAGAATCAAAGCCATGAAGTTAGGGTGTCATTCTTGAATTACAAGGCAGATTGTGTGATGAATAAGAACCAAATCCATAGCCATGTTGCATAATATTCCCTTTGCAGGCCTCAAACTTGTATATCACTCCTTAATTGAATGCTTACTGTAACACCCCAATTCTACCCGGCAATATAAATGTAAATCAGAGTTACAAAAATTATACAACTGAATTAGGATGCCACAAATTCAACTTAAAAACCATTACATTCAACATGGATACATAACACTTTAAAACTTCGGATGAACTAACAGCAAAAAAAATTAATCTCTTAAATCAACAACTTGAACAACTACGCAGCAGATTCATAATAACATCTTTATCCAACATTAAGCAACTTTAGAATAACAAGTACTTAACCACAATCATCTTAAAGTTCAACAATTTAAATAATCAACAACTAAATATCAAGTGTTCATCCCCCCCGAGTGTTACGTATCAGAGCAATGACACTGACTCGAACTACTGAAGGTCAATCTCCTTCACTCTGGATTACCTGCACGTTACCAACATAAGGGTAACATTCAAATAGAAGAAGTGAGATATCGAACACTATAATAGAACGTATGATAAATATTATATTAGAATCAGTTCATACAAAAATCACCACTTCACAACAACCATCACAACATGATATCAACAAAATACAACAATTAATTCATCAACACAACAGCTCAATCATACTACTTAGAATGCAACTCAATACTATGCAAATGCATGTGGTACCATTGGAGCAGAACTCCCATCTTAAAAACTTGCCAATTAATAGAGGCATCAACAAGGCATATGCCTCCTTCGCAGTTTGGCAATTCAGGCTATCAGAGTATGCAAATGTATATGAATGCACTATCACATACTCACAACAATCATCATTTATCGCAAAGGCCTAAGCCCACATCACCATTATTACCAATAAATAGAGGTAATT